ATAATAATAATAATAATAATAATAATAATAATAATAATAATAATAATGCAATGTGGTGCAACTGGAAGAACTGCTGCCTCTCAGCTAGAAGGTTGCCGGTTCAAATCCCGGTCCAGAGGCCTTTCTGTGTGGAGTTTGCATGTTCTCTACGTGCATGCGTGAATTTTCTCCGGGTACTCCGGTTTCCTCCCACAAAAACATGCATGTTAGGCTGATTGGTAACTCAAAATTGTCCCTAGGTGTGAGTGAGAGAGTGAAAGGTTGTTTGTCTCGTTTGTCCCTATGTGTCCCTGTGATGGACTTGCGACCTGTCCAGGGTGCACCCCGCCCCTCACACAGTGATTGTTGGACATGGGCACCGGTGACCCCTGTGACCCAAAATGGAAGAAACGGGTAAAAGATAATGGATGGATGGATGAATAATGCAATGTAGCTTTTCAAACCAACAACTGATCACTAGATAAACTTCAGAATCAGATCAGTTTAAACTTCTTAAGTTTCAACTAGAAGAAGTCTGAAGTCATCTTGTTCCATCCCAATGGCACGTCCATGAACCACTACATTGACATTTCCTCTCTAGCTCCGTTAGAGAAACAAAGAGTCATCAATTTGGGAGTGATAATGGACCCTTCCATAAAACTTAACAGTCATGTAAACATGATTGTTAAATCCTGTTTTGTCCAGCTGAGGCGACTGTCCAAAAAGAATCTTGAGACAGTGATCCATGTGTTCATAACATCCAGGCTCGATTACTGCAATGCACTTCTGTTTGGTATCAATCAATCCTCCATGGCACGTCTGCAACTGGTCCAAAATGCAGCAGCCCGATTTTTAACTGGTACAGGCCATAGAGAGCACATTACTCCAGTTTTGGCCTCCCTGCACTGGCTACCATTCACTTTCATATCCAGTTCAAAATACTCATGTAAGTTTTTAAATCACTGAACAGTTCTGCCCCATCCTATCTCACTGATCTTCTACAGCCATATGTCCCACCGCGCGCTCTGAGGTCAGCAGACCAGAGGCTTCTTTCAGTTCCAGGCACCTGTTGCAAGCCCAGAGGTGACAGGACTTTCTCTGTTGCAGGACCAAGACAGTGGAATGAGTTGTCACTGCGTGTCAGGCAGGCTCCCACACTCACAGTCTTTAAGTCTCACCTGAAAACCCACTTTTATTTCCTTGCCTTTGACACGGTGTGATTAGTTTTGGAACTGTCTCTAGTCTACAGTGTTGACCACTTAGTTATTATCCACTGCTATTTGTATCTATATTTTTATTTTATGTTTTCCTGTCCGCTGTGCTTGTTTGTTTCTATTGTACAACACTTTGGTTGGCCTTGTTGCTGTTTTAAGTGCTCTGTATATAATTGGTATGGTATGGTAGACCACCAAGATAAATCTATATTTTCCTTCCTCCTAATATTCTGAAAGGAACAAACATTTTCTTGTTGAAAGTATTCACACAGCCTTTGTCACTTAGTGATGCAATTTATCTAATGTGCAAACACAGTAAAAGCTGCATTGACAGCTGACAAAGAGCAAAGGTCAAAGGAAAAGTTTACAAGACAGTGGTGAGACCAGCTATATTGTATGGTCTGGAGACAGTGGCATTGACAAAAAGACAGGAGAAATAACTGGAAGTGGCAGAAATGAAGATGCTAAGGTTCTTCTTAGGAGTAACAAGGCTGGATAAGATTAGGAATGAGATCATCAGAGGTACAGCACAGGTTGAACAACTGGGAGATAAAGTTAGAGAGGCCAGCCTGAGATGGTTTAGACATGTCAAGAGGAGGGACTGTGGGTATATTGGTAGAAGGATGTTAGAAATGCAGCTGCCAGGAAAAAGACAAAGAGGAGATATATGGATGCAGTTAGAGAGGACATGGAGGTAGTTGGAATGAGGACAGAGGATGCAGAGGACAGAGTGAGGTGGAGGAGGATGACTCGTTGTGGCGACCCTGAAGAGGGAAAAGCCAAAAGAAGAAAAAGAAGAAGAATCAACCACAACTAAAAGAATCCCTAACATTTGAATAAATTGAAAAAGGAAGCAGCATTTAGATGTAGAGGAAAACGGTTGTTTTTGTGGGTTATTGTGTGAAAGCTGAGGTAACACAAAGCAATGATCTGTACTTTTTATCAGGAATTATGATTGAGGAAAAGAACATTTACTATATAAATGTTAATAAAAAAATAAGTAGAGAAATGGGAAAGATTCTTAAATACTAAAATCCCCAAATGCATCTCACTGTCATCATTATATTAGTTTTATTAGAAGTTGAAAGAACAGATAACATTTTACACATACTGTATTAAACATTCTGAGTCTGACAACAACAACAACAACAACAACATTAATAATAACTAGGATTACAATAGGCCTTCGCAGCGCTTCGCTGCTCGGGCCTAATAATAATGTACAGTACATTCACTCTGTCCAATTTTCGACTTTTCTGCAGGCACAGCAGGGTCGCCTTATTGCTTTCTGAAGGACCCTTCGTAATTTCAAGATGGCGGCGTCCGTGCGCCTGTGCAGTGTCCTCCGGTTCACAATTGGAGGTGAAATAATTATTTTCTTTTGTAAACAGTATTGTTGTTATTATAGTTCAGTTTGAAAACGGAAATGTGTTTTTTTTGTTGTTGTTAGAGAAATGAGTCTGTTTGTTGCCGAAGGTCAGCTGTGTTCTGATTCTGGAAGCCTGGTGGTGTCGCATGCTTTGCTAGCATAAACCGTAATTAACATTTGTTAAGGTTTACTTTGACTTTTGACTTTATTAAATGTGTTTTTTTTTGTTTGTTTGTTTTTTTTTTTTGGGGGGGGGGGGGCATCAATATGAGTTTTAACAAGTTTTCAACCTAGCTAATCGTGATCACTGTGGTTTGACATCTGTATTTAAAAAAACAAACAAAAAACGACTTCTTCAGATTGAGTTTGAAGCTCAACAATATAATAATAAAAGTGTAAAAAAAATAATTTCCGCAGTCTTTTCTACATTGATAGGTTTTTATTTAAACTAATTTAGTTGGAAATGTCCTAACTGAGGCATTGTTAAGATTTTAGAACACTGTGTTGTTTGCCCTTTATGTTCCTCTTTTTCAAACTACTTATAAAATCAGTATATGATGTGGCGTATCTTTCACGGGGTGACTTTTAAAACACAAAATAATACATAAATAAAATTGAATTTTGATTTCCTTTTCCCAAAGTTATTGTTTTTAGCAGCTATCAATCACTTAAAACTAAGCTGTAGTCTTGTTACAAATATCATGGTTCTAGTTGTTTGTTGCAACCAAGATTTTTTGTTAGCTCTTGTTTAACAAAGGTTGCTTTGAAATTTTGAGCAAACTGACAACTTTGGATACTGTTGTATACATTAGATTGGATCTTCCCTTTTTCCCCGTGTTAATCATAAAAGGGAAGCAATATGGAAATACAAACAAAAACTGAATTCTTAATAAAATTAATTCAAAGTAAATTGCAATTAAATAATCTGAGAAATATTATTATTATTATTTCTACACTGATCTCTTTAGGGAACAACATTTTTAACTAAGCTCTGGGATTTGTTTACAAACAAATATTTTAGAATCATTGAGTTAGACTAGTTGGCATAATCCTTCTGACTAACTTGGGTTTGAATTGTCGTGTTGTTGCGATAGTGCCAGCAACCAGTTTTTTATGTTCCCATTTTGTGTCTAAAGTTAAATGGCAACATGAACACTCACCCTAGAAACAAGGAACACTATATTGAATTGAAAACTATCGGTGCACCGATTTCAGTTTTCTGGCCGATCACCGATTTCTAAAAAGTCAGAGCTGCCGATTCCGATTTTGGCCGATACTGATTTTGTTTTATAAGCAACACTGTCAGGTGTTATAAGGTCACAATACACCTTCAGTTTTCTAATCTTATTTTATTGAAAAACATACCTTTGAACAATATAGAATAGAATAGAAACAGCCTTTATTGTCCCACGGATGGGAAATTCAAGTGTAACGGCAGCAACAGATAAAAAGATTTCACACAAAAAGTTCCTAAATGTTAATAAACTATACAATATATAAGAAATAATTTAAACAATACCAATAATAACGTTCAATATGTATTGGAACATTGAGAATGGCAGACTATTTACAGTACATTATTATAGGCAGAGTGTGTGTTTTAACAGAGGTCAGCATGTATTTAATCCTTATTGAGTTTGTTGGGAGCAGTGATATCCTATAAACAATACAAACTTGTTTTAACTGGCCATGAGGTAGTGCTCTGAAATATAAATGAAGTTCATAAAATTTTTATGAAAACTAAAAAAATCTACAAAATCGGTTTCTCACGCAAGTATCAGCCGATTTCCCAAAAATAAGGAAATGGGGGCCAGCCGATTTATCGGTGCACCCCTATTGAAAACTATTAGGTGATTTACACAGAATAGTTTTACACAAGGACAGTTAACTTTTGTCCTCAATATTTACATTCATGAATAATATGAGAACTGAGTGCAATAACTTGAGAAAATAACCTAAAAATTGCTGTGTTGTTTCATACTCAATATTTCAGTTTTTACAAAGCCTTCCAGCACTCTGAGAAAAACTTAATTTGTCTTTTCTGGTTTTAACATTCTGCTTGACTTTCCTGTCATGTTGTGCACAATGTAACAGTCCAACGTCACATTTGACCATTTTTTGAGTTGGTGCTTGTGGTTTTTGAGCACAGTATATTTTATATTCAACTGTCTCGTGGTGCATGTCTCTTATAGGTGCAGCATCACGCCATACTGTAGGGAGTGCTGTCCAGATGTCTCACTTGGCGAGCCGAGCCACAGCTGCCTCTTTGCAGAGGCAACCCTCATTTCCACCAGTCCCACTAACATCATGGCAGCAGAGCAGATGTAGCAGCTTCTTCAACAAGTGTAAGTGGATGATCATTTTTCACACTGAAACCCAACAAGAGCAACTATCTAATAATAAGACTAAGAAAAGCACAGACAAGTCTTAGTGCAAATGATTCTGTGTTGCTATTAATATTTGATTTCCTCGTAATGGAATTGATTCACATTATTATTATGATCACATTAATACAGACATGAGCAGAAATATTGTGATTTTGTCTTGTTCAATTAAATTTGTACTTTGGCCCAAATATGTTGGCAAAATGCAAAAACAAAAATGCATCTTCAATGCCGCATTAACTAATTTGAGTGCAAAAAATAAATAAAAAAGAAAGCACTTCTACTATTTTTATTAGTATGTAACCAAAATTTAAGACGGATGATTTAATTCACTTTAGGTTTATTTAAACACAATGCTTGCAAATTGATTTAGTTCATCTTTGCAATCGCTTTGTTCATAAGCCTTTTACCAATCACCAGTCAAGTTTTAAGAATGCAAAAATGTTGCCAAACAATAATGACAAATACATAGAAATAACACAAACCAAACGGAACACAAATGCACTATCATAATGAAAAACCTGTCAAAATATTAACAACTAAAATTATAAAACTATAAAAATAGAAAGCGTTTAGATATGTGACTAGAAGTTACAAAGCGCAACATTTTTGAAAAGCTAGATAAATGGAAACAAAAAAGGAACAAGGTGGACAAAAAAATAAACACAATTTTTAAAACTATGCAAAATTTAACACATAACTACATTTAATAGCAGGAAAACATACAAGTAAAATAAGTTTTTTTTAAATCCTCGTATTTGCTCTTCTAGTCTCTGAAGTGTAGTTTTTGTTTTACTCCTTTTTGCTGCAGTTCAGCAGATTTACTTTTTACAGATATTATAAAGATAAACGGCTTCAATTGATGACTTGTCTCTTTGTTGTTTTGATCTAATCCCAGCAGCCGGGCTGTAAAATCTTGTGGAGAATCTTTCGAAAACCATAGAAGCTTTTACATCACCTGATAGGGATCCAATTATCGGGTTGTATTTACACCTTTGTTGTGTTTGTGTGAAAGGATTTTTCTCTTCAGGCAGGTGCGTGTAAGTAGATCTTATTTGAACATGTCGGATTGTTGACAGTGTTTCAGGACAATTTATATTGTGCTGTCAAAACATGTCCTTACTCGTGTGTCTTTTTTTCTCCTCTTCCTGACCGCCTTCATAACGGCTTCTTCTTTTTGAGTCGTATGGATGTGCAGGCTGAGGGACTTAAATGCTTTGTGGCTGTCAACATGTGTGACTCACAGTTTGCATTGCCATCACAGGACAGCACAAACACACACAACCTGTCACCATACACAGACTAGGATTATTTTTTTTGTTGGAAGTAAATATTTTATTTTCATCTTTCAGGTTTCATACAGATCTTCAGACTGCTTTTTATTCTGTAGCTAGAACGCTGCAACTAAACTGAGTCTGCTTTACTTCATGTCCACTTTAGTTGTAACATTGAGTGTTTGTTACATTTGTATGGCTTTGGCACTCCTATCTGTCATGTTTACTTTTATTTATTTTTTTGTATTTTTCCATAAGTAGAGGCCACGAGGTCCCTACACCATGAACACTCTTTTAGTTAGGGTTAGTTGAATTTGTGTTAAGATGCCATGTAGGCTACTCATCTAACATAATGTAGTGTAGTGGCTGTTAATCCAGTCCTCCAGGAAGGGAAAACATGACATTTTTTGCTAAATAATAATTACGCTGTTACTGCAATGCTGTTAAATTCAAGTAAGACTATCCTTAGCTGTCCATTCAGCCTTAACTTTTAGAAAAGTGTCATTTTGAATTGTTTTCAATGTTTTAAAGTTGTACACACTCACTGCAGCTATGGCACACTAATCTGAATTATGACAATATGTTATTGTAGTCAAACTTAGTCTGTGCAGTCTTGTAAAAATGTCACTCAGTTTACTCAAATTGTGTGTAAATAGCATAACTTATAACTTATAATTTCCCCTTGGGGATTAATAAAGTATACTGAATTGAATTACATCCATACTCTTGCTAGGAAGCCGAGAAGAAAATCAAAACAAAGCAACGATGTTTGAATGAGATTAATGAAGCTGTAACATTTTCTGACAAAGACTTATGAGCTGCACCTGCTATATATCTTTTGGAGAGTTTTACACAGAACAATAAGATACAAATCAGATTGTTTTGATGGTTTATTGTTGTTACCTCTGTTTGTGTTTACAGTGACGGCAGACCAACTATGGAAAGGTGTGTTAGCAGAAACTGGTGCCGGCAGGAAGGGCAGAGGGAAACGAACAAAACGAACACTGAAGAAAGACTTGAACCGAGGACAGTATATTGGGGAAGGTAAAACATGATCTGTTACTTTCTGGATTATGTTTGATTTGTTTTTGATTACCTGTGTAAAGTTATTTTTTTTATTATAAATTTGATAAGTCTTATTGTCCAAGTTGGATCACCCTATTTTCTCTTTTATATATGCATTTTGTACTTTCGTCTCCTCTGTTGTTAATTTTAGCCCTGCCTCTCAAAAGTTGTAACTTGGGTGTCAAACTAACGCTAACGAGCAGCTGACTGGCACAACACACTGGAATATCCATAACCAAGTGTTGATTAATTTATTAAACAGCTTTGCTAAAGAAGAGAATCACTCTGCCCTCTTTTATGATTTTTCTTTTCTTTTTCATTGAGTCTCTTTCTGTGCCTCTCTAACTAAATATCACATATTCATCAGCACATTCACGTACAGCTCTGTCTGTTGTGTAAAAGTCTTTCAATTGTAACTTCCGAATGCATTTAAATTAATAAAGCTCTGTAGATTAAATAGGCAGATTTATTGTGCTGTTATTTTTAAGTATACGCATATATTTTATTTCTTGATTCTCCACACAAGGATGATACACTTAAAGGAATATTACTTGATTACTATTATTAGCACTATTTATTGCCCACTGCCAAAAGGTAAAACATGGGCAATAATGATTTTTGTCTGTAGTGTTTGCAAATATCTCATGAACCACTGAAGCTCTCTAAAAATAATCATTGCATCTGCAAATGATGAACTTTTGGAGTCAACCAATTCAAGATGGTGATAACAGTCAACTGACCATAGTATAGAGCTGTCATTTCTAACCCGTACCCAAAGCCCGGACCGACCCAGTTTAGGGCCGGGCCGTTATAATGTGATTAATGGTGGTCTTGGCCGGTCTTGGGCTTTTAATTAAGGGTTAAACGACTACATATTTTAAAAAGTCGACTTTAACATGATTAAGGCTGGGTTTCCTTTCTAAAAAAATTGGTACCGGTGTCGGTACCTTCACTTCAGTGTCAGTTCCTGGACGGTTCTTTTTTCGGTACAGATTTTGTAATTACTATTAATTCTAACAAAGAAAATTACTTTACACATTACAGTACAAATCTTGAGTTTTATTTTTTAACTTTGTTTTTTTCTATTCCAAGCAGTTTTCTTACATAAAAATAAACAAATAATTTCCAGGTCAAAAGACCAGTTTCAAACCAGTGACACGCCAGTGTCTAATGCTCACTGCTACACACTGAGGACCTTTTCACTGAACAGTTTTTCTTCAGAAACATCATGTCTGCTTTCTCTGGACACAAACAAGCCCGCTCCTGGCTGATGGTGTCTCCAGCAGTAGAAAATGTTCACTCTGAGGCTGTAGATGATGCTTGTTGCACACACAGATACCTGGGTGTCAAGTTTGACAGCACTGACATAGTGTCCCTCACATTCCACCAGCAGGTCACTGGATTCACTGAGGTTAGGGCTGATGCAGACTTCTGTTCCTCTGTGTCTCTGCCTGAATCTTCTCTGTGATTCTCTGGGGGTTAGGGCTCTTATCATCTCCCTAATTGACATGAGAACACAAAACATCAACAATAACATGGTTGTGTTATTATTGCTCAAAAAACATTATCTAGGCTGAGAGATAAAAGCTTAACTGTCAACAAAATCCTTTACAGCTTACTTATCTCCACCATGCAGCCTCCACTGTACAAAAAGGCAGCAAACTTTGAACAACAAAGTTTGTGACTGTCCTGTGGCTCCACCTCACTTTTCTTTTGTCTGTCTCTGTCCTCCTCACATCTGGGCCAGAGGCTTCTGTGAGGAGAATATAAACAAACAGTGAGCATGAGGTGAACTGTTTAACATGCTGACCGGATGGATGAGCACAGTTTTACAAGCTTCATCTGTTACTGTCAATCTTTTAGTTAGCTTTTGATTTTAGCTAGTTACATAGATAGCCATAAAATAAAGCTACACACTAATATCTTAAAGTTAGCGTTACATGGATTCTAGTTTAATTCACCGCGATGCACCTATTAAGCTGCAGTAACGTTAACAAACGTAATCTTACCAGCTGAAATCACACACACAGCTCCGTCCTCGGAGTGAAGCAGAGTCCGGCCGTGGAGATGTTGAATCAGGTCGTTCAACACTCACAGGCTGACTTTAACTCTGAGAGAGGAGACTGCTGTTTTTCTCTCTCCTTGCAGAAAAACACAGAGCAACTTTCCGCTCGTAAATTGAAGCCGTTCGACAACACACGCGCTGCACACATGAACCCCGTCTGTGGGTGTCACCAACACCATAGACCTACAGCTGTAGGGCAGCTCTATCCAGCTTTGGGTGTACACATGTAGTTTGTCATATGTCTGCATCTTATCTGCCTGCGTGCTGAAACCACGTGACACGTTACAGCCAATACCAAAACTTGAAACTGAAAGAAGAGTCATGTTTCAATCCATACATCTACAGACGCAGTTCGGTCGGTGCCATAAAAGAACCTTGGTTCGGTATACAGCCCTAAACATGATAAAAGTCAAGTCAACTTTGACTAGTCAATGACGTCATAGAGACTCAAGACGCTACAGTAAATTAGCAAAAAAAAAAAAGGAAAAAAGTCATTTATTATTTACCCAAAAAGAACAACAAAACATTGGGCATATATTTATGCTCCTATCATTTATCATACTGCAAATAAGTCAAAGGAAATGCAAAACTATTATCAAGCTGCAAAAATGCTGCTGTTTTTAGTTTTATTTTATTTAATCCACCATGTGGATTGGGTGGAATAAGGTTGGGAACAGCGGGTGGATGGGGGGTGTCACTAGTCGCCGTGAAACAAAAAAACTCTCAAGACGACCTATAATCGACTAGTTGATTGGTCTATTCAACCCCTACTTTTTATTAGGTCAGGATCAGCCTCGATCTAATTATATGATAACATGGCCTGCCATACACCCATCAGCCGCACGCGGCCATTTGACCACGCGCTGACCAGCCTTGAAAGAGGTAAAACAGTTCAGTTAAGCTTCAGATGGGATTGTACTGACAGGCAGCGATCCATCGCCCAAATAGACGTTCATTCAGCCACTGCATTCAGCGGACACTCGCGGCCGACGACCCAAACAGGTGAGATCCCAAAGCAGACTTTTGTGTCAGAGCTGTCCGTGTGTCTCAGCAATTCAGAACAATGCAGGCAGAAACAGAGTTTAAATGCCTTTTTGCAGCTATGAAAGGACAAACACCTCTCATCTCCGAATCTTCTGCCCCGTTTATTCAGCTGCGCGTCCTAGACCGTTAATAACTAATTAAAAACATTGTTTTTTTTCCGGGTTCTGACCTGTAATTACTGTTAATTCATCGGGTCGGGTGGGGATCGGAAATTATGACTGCAGGCTGGGGCCGGGTTGGATCAGATTTTTTGGGCCCGAATGCAACTCTACCATAGTAAGTAATAGAAGAACAAAGTCCATGCTCAATAATCCAAGTATACAATCCAACATTTTTCAGTCAGGTCATCTGGACAGTTTCTTTTTTTTGTGTGTGTTGAAACGTTTCACCTTCCATCCGGAAGGCTTCATCAGTCAAGGAAACACACAACACAAAACTGATTTTTCCCCCAACAGCTTACTCCAAAGTGGAACAAACCAGTTATGTTGGTGCTAAGACGGTAAGTAATAGTGTCAACCCAATCAGACTCGGAGCTCAAACAGATTGTTCAAGAACTTATAATATTTTGTGACATCAGGTAAATATGATTTTTTTTAAACCCGACTAAAATCAGTGTAACTCCCATCATTTCTCAACTCAAGATATTCTAAGTTTAAAACAGTGGCACGGAAGGTATAATGTGATATATGTATCTCTTCAAGAAATGTAAGACCGCCTTTTTTTTGTCCTTTTTTTCTGTTTTCGACCTTCAGGCCGTGAAGGATTTCTGTGGCCCGGACTTAATTTTCCTGTACTGAAGGATGGTGCCGTGCAGAACATTAGCAGAAGAAGTGACGCTGATCAAGAGCAAGTCAAAGCTGAACTCTGTAAACACAAACTTTTGTTTTATCAGCATCAACGGGCTTTCAAAAATCAGCTAGGATCAACAATTGAACTGAGATATGTTCTTCTTTCAATACAAGCAACCTGCAATATCGATATGTTTTACCCCAGCTACTGTATCTGTACTGTATCAGTCATCTGAAAGTTCAAGCAAAGCTAAGGAAAAATTGTTTAATTAATTAATTTTTTCATGAATAAGGAACAGCAGTGACACTGAGGTCTTAATTTAGAGAAATACAAGCACCACTGATGTACGAAGCTGCCGATTTGTCTCATTTATTGATTTTAATGATGTGGTTAATTTGACAAAAAGTGTTGTGTTTCTGCAGTCCGTCAGAGAGACGAGTGGTTGAAAAAGAGGAAGACGAAGTTGAAAAAAGAGAGAGGTTGGACCGGAAACTCTTGGGGGGGCGTCAGCTTGGGCCCGCCCGACCCTGGTCCCAATGGAGGTAAAATTCATTCAACCTTTATTTATATAAGTTAATCCCATTGAGCCTCGGGGACTCTTTTACAATAGAGACCTGATTTTAACAAAGAGTGCTGACAACAGTGGACAATCATAAAAAGCCTACAAACTGAGAGGAACAAGTGAAAGAAAATGGTAAGACACAAGTCCACTGTCTGAGGCCATGAGAATATCATTAGTGACTTTTACTAGTGTTGTTTCTGTGCTATGATAAGCTCTAAACCCTGACTGAAACTCTTCAAACAGATTATTTCTTTGTAGATGTTCACGCAGCTGACCTGCAACTATTTTCTCTAGAATTTTTGAGATGAAAGTTAGATTAGATATAGGTCTATAGTTGGCCAGAATTTCTGAATCAAGGTCAGACTTCTTAAGTAAAGGTTTAATTACAGCAACCTTAAAGCGCTGTGGTACATAACCATCCATTAAAGACAAATTAAGTAGATCCAAAATGTGGACATTAATTAGGGGAAATACGGTATAAAAAATGAAACACAAACAGCTAGGTTGTAAAGCGATGTAGAAAACTAAAAACAGGAACATGTCTGCACTGTTTTTTCCCAGGAACTTAGCAGATGTTTGAAGCCACTTAGAGAGGTCAAGGTCGAGAGCTTCAGATCTTTTTTCACGATATTCCAGGAAACAGGACACACCCAGTGGTTAAAATGTCTAAAAAGTTTGAGCATAATGGTAATACTGAAAATATTTTTACTAGAAACGAAGCAAACGATAATCCTGATATTAGTAGAAAATAGTAAAACAATTTGAAATGTGGCCTGAGTGCAACCTGGAGGATCAGCAGTGAGTCTGGATTACATGTTTGACACAAAAGGCCTCAAAGCACAGCTCACTCTCATACAGATAAACCGAGTGGCTCAGGAGAATGTAAGGATGACTGTAGGGATGGGAGAAAATAGAGAATGATGAAGAAGTAGAAGCATAATACGCTCTGGGCTGCTGTGTGGGAGGCTTAGAGTGACAGCTCAGTATGAGAGCCCATTAGTAGTGATGAAGATGAGGCTACGACTCAAATGTCAAGTGGAACGATTTCCTCATTTAGAAAGAAATTTCTTACTTTTTGTGTTGATCTACACTGATATTTATTTCTTTACCTTTGCTTTCTCTGCTTTTTCAGTAGTTTTTATCCCTCTAATCTCTGGTAAACCTTAATGAACCCTTGTAATTGTTAGTGCTTTGAAGTGATACGTAACGGCTTCCTTTGGCATTATGTCTCTTATGTTTTGTTTTATTCTATTGTTCGTGGTTCTTCAATGGATCACTTGAAATTGAAATATATGTTTGAGTAGTATTTAAAATAAATCATTTAAATTTTGTCAGCCTGACTTTATGTAATAAGGTTTGATGTCAGGGCTCTAGGTTGAAATTGACTGTAATGTGTGTGAAGCCCACACAGTGTGATGTGACCAGTGCCTTAGCAGCTGTATGACGATCACAGAGGACCACTGTGAGCGCAGTGAAGCTCACTCAGTGGTGGAGCTGCTCCTGGCCTCCTGTCCCCTGCCTCATTACACGTTTAAACCTCGTTCTTTGCTGGAATTGAGTTCATCTCGTTTACCTCAGACTGCTGACTGAACAGAGACAAGTCTCGCTGTTTACTCTTTGCTCCCTTCTTTGTTTTCTATCTCTTTCATTTCCCCTCTCAACAAGCTCACTTACACTTTGATATACGTGCGTGCACCCTTTTCCCAACATTTCTTGTTGTTCACGTACGCTGCAGCTCTCACACACATACAGGGAATGTAATCAGCAGAGAGCTGTAACTGGGCTGCTCATCTCAGATCAGGTTGGGTTTCATGCAGGTTGTGGCTCAGTGTCCCAGCAGAGGTGTGTCTGTGTGTGTGTTTCCTGCATTTGAGTGTGTTAGTGTATCTGATTTTTCTCTGAGCTTTTGATTTCATTCTGCTTTTGTTTGTTGTTAATTGGTTTGAAGTGTGCAAGCTGCTGTTTGGGAGTAACATCCTTCAGAGGTCACTGACGATGAGAGGTGCAGACTCGTTACGGGGCTGCACGGGCTTCTGGGTATTTGTTATTCTAGCAGGAGCCTAGTTTCATCTTTTTGAAGGATGTGTAACTGTAGATCTGGGTCTAAATATGTCTGGATTTTAAAGTTGTTGTTTTTTCTGCCATCAGAAAGCAACGCGGACTTCGATTCTCGAGTCATTGAGGTGAGTCGTCCTGTTTATTTGACTAAATAAACTCATATACACCCATTACAAAGGTTGATATGCAATTTAAGATACACACATACATGTTTTTAGACACTTTAGTAGATATTCAACATTTAAATCCAGAAAAAGCCAATTAAAATATTTTAGCTTTAATTTAAAGATGTGTTTTTAAAGAATTTAATTGATTTAATTTGAATCTCACTTTTACTGTTTTATTGCCCTCAGAGAGGTCAATGTAGCTACATCTGTTTAGGTTTTGCTGTTTTTACATTAGTATACAGCTTCTTATTTAATATTTTGCCTTGCAGAAAGCCTAAAATTTGTTCTTGAGAATTTGTGAAAGAGAAGTATAGATGGAGGGGAAAAAATTTCAAGAAAGTCTATGAACTACCATATCTGTGCATTTTTTTTTCTAACTCTTTAAAACTAAACACATCAAAAAGCACAAGATACTGTTTTCAACAATGTTAAAGAAGTAATAATAATAATTTTGTATGTCTCTATTTGATTTAAGGTTGTTCGAGTTTGATAAAAGGCAAACTTGAACGCTTAATTAACAAAAATCATTACCATGCATTAGGAATGTGCGATATGGCATAAAATTCATATCACGATATGTATTGTGAAGGGTGGCGATAACGATATGTATCGCAATATGTTTTTGGTATAACACTTGCTAAAAAAAAAGCATAGGGTGTCCTTTTGCCATCATATATTTTGAATTAAGAAAATTCCACTACTAGGTCCAGAGAGTTTTTAAATAACAAATCAAGTATTAGGCTTCTTTCTTGTAGTGCAAAACAGTGCAAAATATATCAAATGTAGTTTTAGCCATATGTTTTAAACAAAATAATATGTTGTTAACCCTTAACAGTTTCCAGTATTCTTACTTAAGGATTGAACAGTAACAGAGCAGTATTTTACACTGAAACTCTTCACCCTCCAAACCTCTAGTGGGCGACTCCTTCTGCTTTAATGGAGAGCTGACACAAAATGAGTCTGCGGCTTTGACCAGAGGGTCTCGCAGTAAAATCACACAACACAGCGTTCTTTTCACAGATCAGAGAGCAGGTTTCTCTAAAGCTGATCAACACTTACTTTAACTTTCGATGAGATTAAAAAAAAACATTTGACGGAACACAGCGTTTTGCGCATGCGTCAGAATACGGCAACACTACGACAAGCCGGCTGTAGTTAGCTTGTAGCTTCGCTACTTAGCTCTCGAAGAAAAGACTTTAACGCCACTTGCGCACAGTTTTCAACTAAAAAAAAAAGTAACGATTAAATCTAGCAGCTCTGATTTTACTTCAGACACAGCATTACTGCGGTTAGCCGGTAGAAGACAGATCTCTATCGTAGGCTAAATTTCTATCGTTTCTACCGTATATATCGCGCATTCCTACTATGCATTCACTTTAAAAATGTCTGTTTTCATGTTAGTGTTAATCAAAGTCGACACCCAGGGTTTACTTGCTATTGCTTTTCCACGGTCAGATTAGCATTCTACTTTAACTAAGTCTTTACCACCCTGACTGTGTGGGGCGGCTGTGGCTGAGTGGTTAGAGCAGTCGTCCTCCAATGGGAATGTTGGAGGTTTGATTCCACCAGCATGTTCAAGTGTTCCTGGGCAAGACACTAAACATTGCCTAGGGTGTGTGTCCCATCATTGTTTGAATGTGATAAAGCACTGATTATGCTTTGTAAAGATTTAGTGGAGTGCTGTATGAATGGGTAAATGAGGACACAGATTGTGTTGTAAAGAGCTTTGAGTATCTGGATAAGATAGAAAAGTGTTATATAAGTACAGTCCATTTACCATTTGCTGTTGGGTCAACCAGCAAACTGGCGAGTCAGAAAGTTGACAGAGGTTGTTTTTTAATATAAGGGTACACCTTTCAGTGGCTGTTACTAAAATGTAGACGAGTTAACTTAAAAGAGATGTTTTCTTTTGGTCGTTCAAAAAATAATGTATAGAACTGAACACTGGATCGCAGTAGTTGAGCTGGCAGCCTCGAGCGTTTGTCCCGTTGATTCTACGTTTAACTGAAACAGTCTGAAGACGACGCTGCTGTGGGTATCTGTAAAGTTAAGATCAGCTCAGTTCATTTAGATTCATACTGGATCTCGCCTTAATTCAATTTGCACTAATGAGCCCTAGTGAACTAATGGGAGTAGTGCCACAAGGTTACACACACACATGCTCGCAGAACGTCCAAATAATTCTGTCTCTCTCTCATGCACATCATTATGCAAAGAGATCTGTCGCAATAATCTGTACATTATTCACGGACAGAGGAGGGCTGGTTTCATTTAACTCCAGTTTATCTCCACCTGACTTTTTGATTTCATGCGTGTGCCTTTCTTTTTCTTGATAAGCATTCTGAACTCGCTTTTTGGCTCTTTTTTTTTTCTGTCCTATAAACACTGTTAGATTGTATGTGTGTGCATGTGTGTGTGTGCGTTACACTGATAGTCTTTCCCAGCTCTTCTGCCTGCAATAAGAATGGTGTCACAGACATTAGACTTCCCCTTGGAAGCTGACAGACACTTTTATGGTGCCATCCTCTTCTATAAATACACTCTCTGTAGATGTGTGTGTGTGTATGCCCCACTATAAATTCAAGCCTAATGAAATGGAAGAGGCTTACTGGAATAAAAGGCTTGTCTCCCAAGGACGATGAGGCTGCATTAGTGAACACATTTAGTGGGAGGGGAGACAGAGGAGGCGAGAAGAAAAAAATGAATGAGATGAAGTAAAATGTATGAAAGATGGCATCATATCATGCTAATGACAACACAGACGCACACACGTTAGAAACTACAGATTCTGTAAACCTATTTGTTTTCACGTCTACATTTAAAAATGTAAATGTATTTTTTTAATGCATGAGCTCAAAATGAGACCAAATAGATCATCTGTTTTCTTTTAAGTCTACAGATGTTAGTGAGTGTTTCAGATCAAAAGATGGCAGCTAAATGTAACATCTGCAGTCCAGTTAAAATTAGCCTAATCATTTCAAAAGGTTGTTCTCATCAAATGGGATTTTCTAATGTCTTGTAATTTCATCGTCTAATACCATGTTCCTCACCATCTTTTAGTCTTAGCTTGCAGTAATAAAAAATTGCAACTCTTAGGTTTTTTTATAGCCAATAGTGCACTGATAGCAAAAAAATATTGTATTAACCTTTTTTTTTTGTGAATATTCACTTTTTTAATTCTTCTTTGAACCCACTACATTAGATGTAGATATAGTGGGGAGAGTGGTGACAGAGGTTAGAGAAGGTAAGTCTGTGATGGAGAGGTCACTGGTTCAAATCCCCTGATCATTACTGGTTCTTAAGCAAGCCTATAACCTCATCTGCTCACCCGGGTGTCCTAGATGGCAGCCCTCTGCTCCACACAGAAGGCTGTGGTAGCTCGGTGATCGATGGTTGGGTCAGGAAGGGAATCCGTTTTAAAACAATTGCCAAGTTTTCATGCAAGTTGGTTTAGTGTGGTGACTCGTGGAAGAAAGAGGAGTTAAAAGAAAAAAACACATTTGATGTAGATATAGTATTTATGTTTTGCAGGTGATTAATTACAGATGGTGCCCAGGTCAATGACTTTTATTAATAACCAGTTTCAGCGAGATGTCAAGTGATTTTGGAAGAACAATCTACAGAAATACTGTTTGCCTCCTTTAGTATGATGGCTTTTTTAAATATAAAAAAGGCATGTATTTTGGTAAATACATGATTTAAATTTTATTTTAATAGGTACATAATTTTTATTATATTGTCATAAAAATATCTCATTTTTTCTAGAAAAGTGATCTTTTAAATTGCAAAATCACGGATCACTTTTTGTTTTATTTTTATGTTGTTTTTGTGTGTGTGTGTGTGTGTGTGTGTGTATATTTTTTGCACTGTTGAATACACATATATATTAGATGTTGAATAGACTAGTCAACTAGTCAGTTCTAGGACATATTGCAAGTTTTTAAATTTCACATCGACTAGTCGCAGTCCGTGATTGTGTCATGTGTCATGTGTCATGTGTCACGTGATCGGTGCCGGGCCGCTGGATACAAAACAGATTGTTCCAAGCTGATGGAAGGTGAGGAGCAGGCATAGTCTTCCCAAACAGATAGAGAATGATCAACAGTGTGGAAGTATTTCACTAAAGATGGTGTTGTTTTTAGTTTAATTTTATTTAATCCACTAAATAAAAAAACGGGTGCGCTCCACTGGAGAATCCACCATCACAGTGGTGGATAATTTTTATTTTTATTTTTGGGGTGCACGATATTGGATTTTTGTCCGATATCAGATATACCAATATGTTAAAACTTATTTGGCCGATAACCGATGCTGATACCGATATTTTATACATGTTCCTTTATCAGAACATAGCTCTCTTATTTAGGCTTATTTGCTACAAAAATTGTGCAACAGCTGGTGACATATATTCAGTAACAGCCATATGCTATGCATAGCACTTTGACTTATATTAAATGAAAAGTGTTAAATGTTATTTACTAACATTAGTCACCTGCGATACTGTCTCACTTGTGGAGGCTTGTTCCAGGTTCCTAGCAACAGTGTGGGATCCTTTGCACTCCTGTGCATGAAGGACAGCCTTTTTAAGTTCAAAGTTTTTGTCTGTCCATTGTGCCGTAAGACTAATCATGCTAACGGGGATAACACGATGTCCAAATGTCTGTGGTAAAACTCACCCAAGTCATGCTATCAGCTATTCGCTTCTCAATGACGTCAGACATGACGGCTTGTAACTCGGGTAACGTTACATCGGACAAATATCTCTGACTGAGGACGATGTAGCGAGGCTCAACATAGTCCATAAATCTTTGGAATCTGACATCCTCACCCACGAAAAATAAAACTTCCACACGCCGACATTTTGAATTTTCCTCTTCGCCGTGAGATCAGGTAGGTGCACATGACTTCATCATGTTGTGCTGCCACTGCAGGCAAAAGCAGCGCCTTTTATATCGGCG